ATGTATACTAAAATATTATATATATATAGATTCTTTTATCCCTTTTGTTTTGTATTAACTATATATTGGATCATAGCTATATTTATGCTTTCTATACATTGCATTTCCTACATCACTGCATCGTTCACACTTAACACTCTCATTGTATTTTACGTCTATATGGTTATCTACGTGGTTTTTGTTATCTAACTTTCTACATTATATCTCCTTAACTATTACTCTAATTTATTTGAGGTCACTTTTTTCTTTTTTTTTTATATATTGTATTAAATATCTACATTTTATTATCCTTTAGTATCTCATTAGTTATATATATTGGTATCCTCTTCATCTTATATTATCTTATTATATGGGGATCTATACTTCTATTGCATATATATTATACTTACCTCTCTTCTCAATCTATATATATCCTCTATTCTATCATATACTATAACTCATTATATATATATATAGTATATATATTATATAATATCTATATATATATATATTATATATACTATATATAGCTACATTATTATAATTATATATATAATCATAATATATATTTAATTAATATATATATATACTATATTATCATATATATATATATATAGTATACTATATATATATATATCGTCTATATATCTATTCCATATATCCACTATATAGTATATATATATATATATATTCATATATACGCATATATTATATACATATACATAGGACATAGAAATTATCATAGATATATATGAGGGAATAAATGTTTAGATATAGATAAAGATTGACAGATAAATGAGCATGTGTTTTTTTCCTTGTGGTCCTCTCCGTTAATTACCGTTAATTATCGTATAACTTCTTCAATAGAAGCACACGTTTGGCCTACACAATGTTATTTGGAAGATTGTTCCGTCTCAAAAGTTCTCTTTGTGAAGCTGAACTTTTTAAACTGTGTCCTCTCGAAGCTGAACTTAGTTTTAGTGTGTCCTCTCCTCCTTTTGTTCATGATTATAAAATCACCTTTCTTCACTCTTCCTGTAACAAAGGCAGCATAACTATGTCCCCTTTTCCTGCTATCTTCCAAAGAAGAAGGCCTTTTTCTGGTCTATCTTCGAAGCTCGCATCTCGTGGCCACTCTGTGAACTCTTTCCATTTTGTCTGTCTCTTTTTTTTAAGTATGAACATGCCACTCCGTCAGCCATCAATTATGTCACACGTTGACCGAATACAAACGGTGAATTTGTTTGTGTATGAAATAGGGAAAAAAATCTGCCTCTGGGAATTCAGGTAATGTGCGTGTGCTCGTTTCAACTGGCCATTGTACTTTGTTTTTAATTTTAATCATTTCATCCAGGCTAATTTCTTATTCTGCTCTTTATCCTCCCTTTCTTTTCGCTTGTGTGTGTTTGTCCCCCTTATGAACATTCACATAGATATTGCCACAAAATATGATGATAATACTTCCATTCAGCTTAAAGCGCTGTCACTTGAGATTTTTTTTATTTATTTATTATTATTATATTTTTTTTTTTTTGGGGGGGGCATATTCCTCTGTGCTCTTTCTCTTTTTCTTTCTCTCTCTCTCTCTCTCTTTCTCTTCTCTCTCTCTCTCTCTTTCCTCCCTCTCACTCTCTCTCTTTTCTCCTCTCTCTCACTCTCTCTTCTCCTCTCCCCCACTCTCTCTTCTCTCTCTCACTCTCCTTCTCTCTCTCCTCACTTTCTCACTCTCTCTCTTCTCCTCTCTCTCACTCTCTTCTCCTCTCTCACTCTCTCTCTCTCTCCCTCTCCCTCTCTTCTTCTCTCTCTCTCTCTCTTCTCTCCCTCTCCTTCTCATTCTTTCTCTCTGTCTCTCTTCTCCTCTCCCTCTTCATCTCTCTCTCTCTCTCTCTCTCCCTCCTCCTCTCTCTTCTCCTCTCCCTCACTCTCTCTTTTCCTCTCTCTTCTCTCTCACTCTCTCTCTCTCCCTCTCCCTCTCATTCTTTCTTTCTCTCTCTCTCTTCTCCTCTCCCTCACTCTCTCTTCTCCTCTTCATCTCCACTCTTCTCTCTTCTCTCTTTCTCACCTCTCCCTCTCATCCTTTCTCTCTCTCTTCTCCTCTCTCACTCTCACTCATTCTCTCTCTCCCTCTCATATTCTCATCTCTCTCCTCTCAATATTCTCTTCTCCTCTCATCATTCTCTCTCTCCCTCATATTCTCATATATTCTCTCTCTCCCTCCTCTCTCTCCCTCTCATATTCTCTCTCTCCTCCATATTCTCTCTCTCTCTCTCTCTCTCTCTCTCTCTCTCTCTCTCTTCTCTCCTCTTCTCGTCTCTCCTCTCTCTCAGTCTCTCTCTCTCTCTCTCTTCTCTCTCTCTCTCCTCATCTCCTCTTCTCACTCTCTCTCTCTTCTCTCTGCTCTCTCTCACTCTCTCTCCTCTCTCTTCTCTCTCCTTCTCTCTCTCACTCTCTCTCTTTCTCCTCTCATCCTCTCTTCTACTCCCTCTCTTCACCTTCTCTCTCTTCTCCTCTCCCCTCTCATCTCTTTCTCTCCTCTCTCTCTTTCTCCCTTCTCCTTCTCTTCTTCTCTCTCTCTCCTTCTCCTCTTCCCTCTCATTCTTCTTCTCTCTCCTCTCCCTCTCCCTCACTCTCTCTTTTCCTCTCTCTTCTCTCTCACTCTCCTCTCTCTCCGCTCTTCCCTCTCATTCTTCTCTTTCTCTCTCTCTCTTCTTCCTCTCCCTCACTCTCTCTTCTCCTCCTCTCTTCACTTTCTCTTCTCCTCATTATCAACCCTCTCCCTCTCATTTTTCTCTCTCTCTCCCTCTCTCACTCTCACTCATTCTCTCTCCCTCTCATATTCTCCTTCTCTCTCTCATATTCTCCTCTCTCCCTCTCATATCTCTCTCCTCTCTCTCTATCTCTCTCCCCTCTCATATCTCTCTCTCTCCTCTCTCTATATTCTCTCTCTCCCTCTCTCTCTCTATCTCTCTCTCTCTCTTCTCTCTCTCTCTCTCTCTCTCTCTATTTTTTCTCTCTCTCTCTCTCCTCTCTCCTCTCTCTCTCTCTCTCTCTCTCCTCTCCTCTCTCTCTCTCTCTCTCTTTCTCTCTTCTCTCTCTCTCTCTCTCTCTTGATATATCTTCAATCTAGTTTTTTTTTCAAATTTAAATTCCTCAATACCATTTCAAAGTATGCCCTCGATCAAAGTTTATAAAACGACTGCTTCAAAATCTTAATAATCATTATTAACACATCCAAAAAAAAAAAAAAACTAATACAAGTTTAAACACGAAGTAAAGTTTATATCAGTATTCGCCAAAGCAAAAAATAAATGTAAAATATGCAAACAAAACATTTACCTGCTCAAGAAGAAATTCACCAAAACATTTTTGAGCCTGTAGCCTCTCCTTATGTGTGTTGGCGGTCGAATCTTGGTGGTCAAAACTCTCTCGTCCTGAAATGAAACATAAAATACTAAGGATTTCATACAAAGAACTGAGTGTGTGGGTGGGTGAGTTGTGTGGGTGGGTGGGTGAGTGAGGGAGTGGGCGAGTGAGTGAGGGAGTGGGGCGAGTGAGTGAGGGAGTGGGCGAGTGAGTGAGGGATGGGCGAGTGAGTGAGGGAGTGGGCGAGTGAGTGAGGGAGTGGGCGAGTGAGTGAGGGAGTGGGCGAGTGAGTGAGGGATGGGTGAGTGAGGGAGTGGGCGAGTGAGTGAGGGAGTGGCGAGTGAGTGAGGAGAGGAGTGATGGTGGGCGAGTGAGTGAGGCGAGTGAGTGAGGGAGTGCGAGTGAGTGAGGGAGTGGGCGAGAGTGAGGGAGTGGCGAGTGAGTGAGGGAGTGGGGCGAGTGAGTGAGGGAGTGGGGAGTGAGTGAGGGAGTGGCGAGTGAGTGAGGAGTGGGCGAGTGAGTGAGGACGAGTGAGTGAGGGAGTGGCGAGTGAGGGAAGGAGTGGGCGAGTGAGGGATGGAGGGAGTCGGCGAGTGGGTGAGTGAGGGAGTGGGCGAGTGGGTGAGTGAGGGAGTGGGCGAGTGAGGGAGTGGGCGAGTGGATGAGTGAGGGAGTGGGTGAGTGAGGGAGTGGGCGAGTGGGCGAGTGAGGTGGGGAGTGGGTGAGTGAGTGGAGTGGGAGTGAGGGAGTGAGGTGGGAGTGATGAGTGAGGGAGTGGGTGAGTGAGTGGGAGTGGGGAGTGGGGAGTGGGTGAGTGAGGAGTGGGCCGAGTGAGGGAGTGGGCGAGTGAGGTGAGTGAGTGGGCGAGTGGGAGTGGGAGTGGGCGAGTGGGAAGTGAGGGAGTGGGCGAGTGGGTGAGTGAGGGAGTGTGGGTGAGTGAGGTGGGCGAGTGGTGAGTGAGGGAGTGGGCGAGTGGGAGTGAGGGAGTGAGTGGGAGTGGGCGAGTGAGTGAGGGAGTGGGCGAGTGAGGGAGTGAGTGGGTGAGTGAGGGAGTGGGCGAGTGGGTGAGTGAGGGAGTGGGTGAGTGAGGGAGTGGGCGAGTGGGTGAGTGAGGGAGTGGGCGAGTGGGTGAGTGAGGGAGTGGGCGAGTGGGTGAGTGAGGGAGTGGGCGAGTGGGTGAGTGAGGGAGTGGGCGAGTGGGTGAGTGGAGCGAGTGGGTGAGTGAGGGAGTGGCGAGTGGGTGAGTGAGGGAGTGGGCGAGTGGGTGAGTGAGGGAGTGGAGTGGGTGAGTGAGGGAGTGGGCGAGTGGGTGAGTGGGAGTGAGGCGAGTGAGGGAGTGGGCGAGTGGGTGAGTGAGGGAGTGGGCGAGTGAGTGGGAGTGAGGCGAGTGGGGAGTGAGTGGAGTGGGGAGTGGTGAGTGAGGGAGTGGGCGAGTGGGGAGTGGGTGAGTGAGGAGTGGGCGAGTGGGTGAGTGAGGGAGTGGGCGAGTGGGAGTGAGGAGTGGGCGAGTGGGTGAGTAGGGAGTGGGCGAGTGAGGTGGGCGAGTGGGTGAGTGAGGGAGTGGGTGAGTGAGGGAGTGGGCGAGTGGGGTGAGTGAGGGAGTGGGTGAGTGAGGAGTGGGCGAGTGAGGAGTGGCGAGTGAGGCAGTGAGAGTGGGCGAGTGAGGGAGTGGGCGAGGCGAGTGAGGGTGAGTGAGGGAGTGGGCGAGTGAGGGAGTGGGCGAGTGAGGGAGTGGGCGAGTGAGGAGTGGAGTGAGGGAGTGGGCGAAGTGAGGGAGTGGCGAGTGAGGAGTGGGCGAGTGAGTGAGGGAGTGGGAGTGAGGGAGTGGGCGAGTGAGGGAGTGGGCGAGTGGGTGAGTGAGGAGTGGGCGAAGTGAGGGAGTGGGTGAGTGAGGGAGTGGGCGAGTGAGGTGAGTGGGCGAGTGGGTGAGTGAGGGAGTGGGCGAGTGAGTGAGTGGGTAAGTGAGAGTGCGTGCGTGCGTGTTTGTGTTACACAATATCACAAAAAATATTTTAACATGTAATTGAACACATTGCTTGTGAATTTGAACGTAAAAAAAGCTTGAATGAATGGAAGCTTCGTCACTCACCAGCAAGACCTGAAGGACGCGCTCCGGCTGTCCGAGGACTTCCTGCTGCGTCGCGAGAAAGGAGTTTTGAAAGAACTGTCAAATGTCCCGTTGTTCTTGGAGCCTCCCGAGCTGGCCAGATAGCTCCTCGGAACGGGCTTGAGGTTTCGCTGCGCCAGAAGGCCTCCGACCGGAGTGGTGGGCGTGTACGTAAACTGGTGGCCTCTGACTGCGGAATTGGGGGCCTGCTCTGCTCGGGGGGCGCTGACGACGGGCAGAAGGGGAGAGGGAGTCGGCGAGGGCGAATTGTACTCCGGGGACGACGTGCTCCTGACGGGAGGCGTGGGTTTGGTGGCCCGACTGCGGCCTTCGGACCTCGGTGGCGGCGCTGGCTTGGGCCTGGCGACTGTCGGCGGCATCTCGTGGGCCGGCGTGGACGTGAGGCACTGCGGGAATGGCGAGACGTTAAGCGACGGCGAATTGCAGCTGTTCTTCGCAGACGCGTCGAGTGGCCGAGAGGTTTTGCTGGCTTCTGCACGGGCTATATCCAGGTGCTCGAAAGAAGAGGAAGCAGAGATGTTAGGCTTCCAGGGAATCAACAAAGACAAGTCCGGCCAGACGTATGGAGGCTTTTTACCAGTGGAACGAACTTCACAAGACAATGGCGTCACAGGCCCTGAACTGGACGAGGAATTGGAGGACGGAGTGAATGTAATCAGTGATAGGCCATTGTGCGCAGGGGACGGCGTGCTCAGCTGACGACTTCGTAAAACTGAGCTTGTCTGCGCGGCGCAGTCCCTGTCGTGTTCTCGGAGATTCTCGTGCGAAGGCGAGGGCGTCACGGGAGCGGGAACGGCGGTCTCCTTCTGGCACTTCGAGACGTCTGCGGTGGACGGCATCCGGAATATTGGAGCCTCAGATTTCTCGAAGAAGGCAAAAGAAGGGGAGCTCGACCAGGCCCTCGAATGCAGGATGCCCACCAGGTGAGGCATGGAGGCAGAGGGCGACGGCGCTGCACCCGAACTCTCGACGGGCTTGAACGACAGCATGCTCCTCACCGCCGTCTTCCCCGAGATCGTTGCTGATTTAAAGGTCACGTCGATGATGGCTTCCTTGCAGGGGAAGGTGTCGCTCACCGTGGACGTGTTCAGGGCCTGGCACCGGGAGTGGACAGGGGGGTCCACAACCCCAGGGTCAGGATGACGAGAACGAGATACCGCATTGTGTGCCTGGGGGCTTTCGAAGGACCGGTGGAGAATCTCCCGCCGCGAACTCCTGTGCGCTGCGACCACCCCACTCAGAGACAGGCGGGAGCGGGCGAGGGTCGGGGAGGGCTGGAACACCCAGTCGGACATCATGGTGATTCGGTCTGCTACCGGGGAGCTGCTTTTGTGGTAGCCGTTGAAGGTGACCGGGCAGCAGATGAGGCTGCTGCTGCTCCCAACCAACCCCGATATTGTAACTGCCCACACAGCTGCAACATCAATATTACAGGATTAAATGAGGTTTTCTTATCAAATCAGAAAACCGAACACACGCATTTACCTTCTAGAAAGATTATTCCAATCACTCGAATTCTATCGACATCAAATTCTGTTTCATTCAACTTTATCACGGCAGGCTCTCGCAGTCATAATCTTCACGATTATTTCCCTAATTAATAATCATAATAATTATCATTTCCCAACACTTCCTTAAATGTCTACCTCTATATGTCCACTTCTATGGAAACAAGTATTAACTCTTGCTCTCCTCTGGTCTAACATGCCTTAGTTCTGCTTTACATGTTTCCCTAAACATCTCAAAACCATTATATGCCCAGCTGTTAAAAGACTATTTTAATGCTCCTTGTAAACCTCTCTCATTCTTTCCCGTTTTAGTCTGTCGGTTTTCGCTCAAGCAATATTAAAGAGGAACTACTTATTGTCACCCCTTCTCGCAGTCATACACTGGACCGACACCCTAATCTTCCTATAATTTTACAGAGTTCCTTTTGACTTAGACGCCAGGATCCTCCGCTCCAGATTAGAAAATGTTAATCATTACGCGCGCTGCTCTTTTAGCCTTACATTCCCCATCACTCATTCACAATCTTGGCATTTAACACATTCTTACTCCTTTCATAACGATGAAAACACACACAACAACACACACACACACACACACACCTCTTATATAACATAACGATGAAAACACACACACACACACACACACTCATAACATAACGATGAAAACACACACACACACACACACACACACACACACACACACACACACACACACACACACACACCTTATACATCCCCTCTCCCTCCACGTAAACACAAACACCACGTAACCCCCCCCCCCCCCACCTGCATCATCGACATCCTGAAAGACCCCGAAGGATTCCTTGGGTGCCCACGTCCACACGGAGGCAAAGTCGAGGTGGAAGAGGATGACCGAAGCCAGAAGGATTAAGGACGAGAGGACGAGCAGGATCCTGACGACCACGGCTGTTCTTCCTAGGGGGAGTCCTAAGCTCGTGGAGGTGTAGTGTCTGTAGGCCACGAGGGTCACCACGATGCCCGGGAGGAGACTCTGTGGGGGGCGAAGGGCGTCTAGAGGGGTCGGGGATTGGGAAGGGGAGGCGAAGCGCGAGAGGATGAGCGAGAGGAAGAAGGGAGGGAGGAGATGGTAGAGGAGAAGAAGAATGAGGAGGAGGGGGAAGAGTGAGAGGAAAAAGGGAGGGAAGAGTGAGAGGAAAAAGGGAGGGAGGAGATGATAATGGAGAAGAAGAATGAGGTGGGGGAGGAGGAGGAAGGGGGAAGAATGAAGAGGAGAAGGAGAAAGGGGGAGAGGAGGAGGAGGAGGAGAAGGGGGAAGAATGAAGAGGAGGAGGAGAAGGGGAAGAGGAGGAGAAAGAAAAGGAGGAGGAGGAGGAGAAAGAAAAGGAGGACGGGTGGAGAAGGGGAAGAGAAGGAGAAGAATGAAGAGGAGAAAATGAATGAGGAGGAGAAGAATAGAGAATGAGAATGTGGAAGAGGAGGAGGAAGAGGGGAAAGGGGGAAAGAGGAGGAGGAGGAGGAGGAAGGAAGGAGAGGGATTTGGTGGTGGAGGAGGAGAACGGAAGGAGGAGATGGAGGAGGAGAGATAGAGGGAAGAGGAGGAGAAAGAGCAGGTGGAGGAGCAGAAGGAGGAGGAAAGGGAAGAGAGGAGGAGGCGGAGGAGGGATAGCAGGGGGAAGAGGAGTGAGGGAGAGGAGGGGAGTGAGGGAGAGGAGAGAATGAGGGAGAGAAGGAGTGAGGGAGAGGAGGAGGAGTGAGGGAGAGGAGGAGGAATGAGGGGAAGGAGGGGGAGGGAGAGAGGGGAAGGAGGGGGAGGAGAGAGAGGAAGAGGAGGGGGGAGGGAGAGGAGGAGGAGGAGGAGGCAGAGGGAGGGAGAGGAAGAGGAGGGAGCGAGCGAGAAGAGGGAGAGGAGGAGGAGGAGGAGGAGGAGGAGGGGAGGGGGAGGAGGTAGGAGGAAGAGGGGGGGAGGAGGAGGAGGAGGAGGAGGAGGAGGAGGAGGAGGAGGAGGAGGAGGAGGAGGAGGAGGGAGGAGGAGGAGGAGGAGGAGGGAGAGGAGGAGGAGTAGGAGTAAGGGGAGATGGACGAGGAGCAAGAGGAGGAGGAGGAGGTAGATGGACAGGGGAGAGAAAGGAGGAGGAAGGAAAGGGAGGAGGAGGAAGAAAGGGAGGAGGAGGAGAAGAAGGGAGGATGGAAAGGGAGGAGGAGGGGTGGATGGAAAGGTGGAAAGGAAAGCAGAGGTAGAGAGGAAGCAGAGGTGGAGGAGGAGCAGGGAGAAAGGAGAAGGAGATGGAAAGGAGGAAAGGAGGAAAAGGAGGAGAGAGGAAGAAGAGGAGGGTGAGGAGGAGGGGGGGAAGGAGGTGATTGTGGTGGTGGAAGAGGAAGAGGAGGAAAAAGAAGGTGGTGGGGGAGGACGAGGAGGAGGAGGAAGAGAGGAGGAGAAGAGGAGGAAAAAAGAGGAGGAGGAAGAGGAATAAAGCGGTGGTGGGGGGAAGGGAGGGGGAGGAGGGGGAGGGGGGGGAGGAGGAGGGGGAGAGGGGGAGGGGGGGGAGGGGGGGAGGAGGAGGAAAGGAGGAGGAGGAGGAGGAGGAGGGGAAGGGAGAGAAGAAGGACAGGGAGGGAGAGGGGAGAGAAGGAGGAGAAAGAGAGGGAGGTAAGAAAAATGAGAGGGAGAGGAGGAGGAGGAGGAGAGGAGGGAGAGAAGGAGAAGGAAAGGGAGAGAAAGGAGAGAGGAAGAGGAGGGGGAGAGGGAGAGGAGGAGGCGAGGGAGAGGAGGGAAAAAGTAGTAGTAACTTGTTAATAACTCTTCTTTGATAATCACCCATTCTAAAAATTAAGTAAACATTCTAAAAATAATAGGACTACTGACCAAAATTCCGCTGGCGAAAAAGAGACCGAAATAGGCCGGCTTGTCCATGAAAACCGCGATGAAGGTCTGCACTCCGCCAGCCAACGTAAGCACTACTCCGCCCACTATGAGTACTAGTCCTGAGGTCTGTGAGCTTATACTGGCCATGTTTATCAGCTCTGTTGGAAAGATAATGGT